TTAGGTTTGGCTTTTAAAAAAACCTAATTGTTTTATTGCAATAATTGACGCGTACAAGAGCACATACTATTTCCAAATCAATTTGTAAGAATAATGGCCATTACTGATGTTTAACACGACTAATTACTAGCAACTGAATATCCCAGGGCATAAAAAACATGAAAAGGAAAAGTCAACAAGATCCCAACAACGAATATTTACCGTCTTATAATTATTACTAGACCGATGACAACTACAATAACTACTACCAAAGTAACAGTTACAGCTGATATAATCGTGATACTATTGTCTGCTTTCTCAACTACTGTAATATAAATTATATTACTCTCTATATCACAGTATATCACGACTTCATTCAAATCATATTGCCATTTTAAAATATGTAGAAAACGACCAAGGAAAAATGAATTTCTTCAGAGGGATGGAAACTTGGAGTATAGTTTTATGCTCCTTGGGTAGAAATGCAAAGTGTCCTCCTCAGCTAAAATTTTACATTATCCAAAATATGATTTTAATTTACCATAGATGCACTCCAAAAAGAATACTGGTGATTAAGTTTTGTACCTCAGTGCTTTCTCTATACATGCGTCACCGTTAAAACACAAAATAAGACAGATTCTTTCATTCTGTTAAAAAGTAATTTCAGGAAATATAGGTTATTACCTTCTTTACAAGTTGGTCCTTGAAAACCAGCTTCACAGCCCAGCTCTAGATCACAAGCACCAGTTACGATATGACAGATAGTTTGGTTATAACAATTACCACAGGTAGAGCTACATCTTAATCCATATGTTCCATTGGGACAATCTGGAAAACATTCAGTGAAATGGAATATTTTATAATTTAATGTATTGTAAATAGACTAGGGGTGATATATAGTAATGATCAACAGAAAATTTAAAATTCAATCACAAAACTATTCAAATATCAAATATATTTTATATCTATTCATAAAATCATAGTATTCCTAACTGCACAAACGATGCCTTACATACAGTACATACAATAACTAACGCGTCTTGAACGGTTGTAATTTCAAAGTTTAGTCCCTACAGATCATATTACTAAACAGTAATCTCTATCTACCTTCAGCACATTTATCACCAATTTTACCAGCAACACAACCATCGGTACATGAACCATTAGTCTGGAGACATGTCTTCTTAAAACAGTTACTACTACAGTTCTTGTTACAAACATCATCATAATAACCCTTAATACATCCAATACTACAATAACCATTAGTTATATTACATACTGGATTATTGTCTTGTGATTGACATGTTTTATTACATGGTTGTTTACATGACTGTCCATAATATCCATCGTGACATTGGGTACATTTCTTATTGTCATTCTGACTACATATAATACAGTTTTTACTACAATCATTAGTACATGTAGGTCCTGATTTACCAGAAATACAACCATATATACAACTACCATCATTTCTATTACATGTCCCATTATTACAACCTGTACTACCTTTTTCACAAGCTTCACAATCACCATTATTCTGGATACAACCACCATTACAATTAGTAGGACATGGTGTATCACATTTATTACCATAATAACCAGAAGTACAGTTGTTACAATTACCACTAGAATCACAGCCACCTACACAATTACTCCCACATTCTAAAGAATAATATAATTCAATCACATATTGAGGACTTATGAATCTTTTGAGAGAAATTGGCTTTCTAAATAGTATATCTTGATGAATCTAATTTGTGTAATTGTTCTAAGTAAGATCCAAAAGACATTTCAGCAGATTTAGACGATATTTCTTTAGTGGTCTTAATGTTTTGTCGGCTGTATAATAACAACATTGATCTTTTTTTTTATATAGGTATAAACAGCAAAATTATTGTATTGTCAAGTGGATCGTCAGCCTTCAGACAAGGTTTGAAAAATGAACACAATACAGTTCCTGATATGTATTGGCGTATCGGTATATGCACACCCAAAATTAAATACGTATAACAAGAAAAACTCACTTTCAAATATTTCTACTTCACAGAGTGTGAGAGGTTTGTCTCCTTGGTTGGGATTTTCTACACTAATATATACATATCTACCATTAAACTGTATATTTTGTGATTGATTACAACTATTTATATTGTAGATATCTTGTATTGTTGTACTAGTATCTTTATAACAAATTGTAGATTGTTTATATCCATCTATATTACATCTACCATTAAAACTTAATCTTAGCTCAAAACCTTGTAATCTTTCTTGATCTGTAAAGATAACATAAGATAATTTCTATAAAATAAGAGGAGGGAATTACTATCATTAGATTGATCGAAGTAAAAAGCATTCTATACATGCTGTTCAAATCTTCACTTTTGCACCAGTACCATTGATAATATATCTAGATTTTTACCTCAAAGAACCAACAAACCCAAATAGCAAATCAATTTTGCAATAACAATGGACAAACACAAATTACAGTTAGTAGCATTAGTAGGAAATGTTACCTCAAAATTCTCAAAGTGTAAAGAAAAATGTAGAAAAAAGGCACTTGACTACGATCGTCTCCCAACCACTTTCCCATTCGTCTTACTTTCTCTAGGCCGTGGTACATACAAATAATGGTATAAGAAGAAAAGTCAATTAAATGTACAGTTAAGTTAAATGTAAGGAAGTACGAAGTTTGAACGAAAAATAGAGATATTTAGAGAGTGGAATGATTAATGGAATAGAACTGGTAGACATTAAAATATGAATTTTTCTAAAGTTGGGTATACACAATAATAGGGAGGCAGATAACAGTTTCTAAGATTAGTATAGGCAGGGCAACATAAGAGAAAATTCATCTTCAACAACATGCATATTACAATATTTACAAAGTCTATTATTTCTATGTACATTTGTATATCTACCAGTTTCGATTGCCAGACTGTGAGAACTACATCTGAAGTTTGAGGAACATTTCCTATATTTTGGTATGATAAAATGATTTAAATATGGTTTAAAATCCAAATTGTACGTAAATAGATTATAAAAATGTAATTTTGATGAACTAAAGCGTGAACTATTCCATTGTTGGATATATTGATCAATTAAACGTCGTCTGTACCTATTGGGGACATAGCAATGGTAACTTCCCCTTGGTTTAACCAGTCACATGAAAACCCCAAACATACATTTTACGTTATAGGCCCAATTACACCTTTTAAATCTATTAGACATATAAAGACTATTACATGTTACATTATAAATAAAATATAGTAATGAGTTTTTATCTGATACAATTCTTAACCAGTATTTTAAAATTATTTCGATACGTTTAAAATATAATGGAGTGACCCCTAGCTCCCCATAGACTGCATGTGAAGGCGTAGGTGATTTAACTCCCAGTATTTTTTTACAAAAATTAGTGTGGACTCTTTCAATATCGGGACCAGTATGGAAACCCCATAAAGCACACGCATAATTCAAAATAGAGCCGATATAGCAATTAAATAGTTGATATAGCTGATTTACACTAAAATATACATTGTTAAAAACATTACATAACTGATAAACACCCTTACTCCCCTTTACAGATATAGATTTTTGAGTAGTATTGAACAGATCGTTACTAGAGAATTCAACACCAAGATAATTAAAAGATTTTACATTTTCTAAAGGATAGCCATTATATTCAAAAATATTATCTAAATTAGCACGACCTTTCTTAAATATCATAGTTTTAGTCTTAGAAATATTAAGATCAAGTTTCCATAAAGTACAGTACACTTCAGTCTGTTTAAAAGTGATTGAAGGCCTGCAGCAGAAAGAGATAGAAGTGTACTATCGTCGGCATAATAAAATAGATACAATAATTGAAAGTTGCAAACATCTAAAATCTATTAAGACACTCGATATTTCTGGAATTCCAATTAGCCTGGAACAATGTGTTCAACTCTTAAATCATACTTATGATACACTTACATGCTGCATATTAAATATCCCTAGATATATAACTGTAAGAGAATTTTTTGTGTTAATTGAACTAAATTACAAGAACTGTCGATTTTTTGTCCTCAGAATTGACAAGTATGGAGACAAAATTTGGAGTTAAGAATGCCCTCGAAGTTTTGGATTTCCTTGATATTGACAATGATTGTAGTGAATATGATTCCTCGTCTGATCATTTTGAATCTGTAGAACCAGCCATTAACATACCCCTTTCTTACCAAAATAATAATATCAATGAAATCTTACCAGCAGCTCAAAATATATCTAATGATGAATCTTTTGAAATAACTTTGGACGAAATATACTAATTCCCGACACTGAACTCAGTACAGCAAATGTTATAATAGATCACGAAAGTAATATCTCAACCATAATAGATAATGATAAAAATGCTAAAATTCACGAAAGTAATATCTCAACCATAATAGATAGTGATAAAAATGCTAAAATTCCCGAAACAGCAAATGCTGAATCTAGACCTTCTCGAAAACGAAAGAAAAACCAAGCAGAATGGGCAAAAATGTACGAAAAAGGAGACGACAATCAGGAAAAGAATATACGGACTCAAACGGAAACCTACAGCGAAAAAGATCACTGAAATATGACACAAATCATACATGTAGATTCAAATGTTGTGAACATTTCTCATATGATGGTTGTCTACAAATCTACACGGAGTTTTGGACTCTTAACGACTCCCAGAAAAAGATTTTCTATAGCCAAACTACAAGTAAAGAACGTAAGGCAAGAACTAGATTGCCTAATACTGAATTTACTAGTAGAAAGCAGTTTACATATAAATATCATTTGAAAAAAAGTGATGAAAATATACGTGTGTGCAAACAGTTTTACTTAGATACTCTGGATATAAGCCAGACACGAATCCAAACTTTTCATGAAAAAGATGAAAGAGGAAATATCAGATACAGTGATAAGCGTGGTGCACATAGTTGTAAAAATATTATCAATACTGAACCCCAAAAGGAAATAATTCGTAACCATATTAAATCATTTCCTACTATTCCCTCACATTATTGTAGGGCAAATTCCAAGAGACAATATTTAGAGCCCGGGCTCACTGTACAAAAAATGTACAATCTATATGTTGATAACTGCAATAGAGATGAAATAAAACCCTTAAAATTATATGTTTATCGAGATATTTTTAATTTGGAATTTAACATTGGATTCCATGTCCCGAAAAAAGACAAGTGTGACACGTGTGAAAAATACATAATATTAACCTCCCAACCAAACGTTAATGAAATTAATGCTCAAACATTACGTGATTATTTGAACTTAAAGCAAGAAACAAAAATAGAAAGGGACACGGATAGAAACAGAAAAGATAATTCTGTAGTTGTGTGCTTTGATATGCAAAATGTCATGACGTGTCCGCGAGCTTCAGTTTCAAATTTCTTTTATAAAAGAAAGCTTTCGGTTTTTAATTTAACAGCACATTGTTCTTATAACAAAGTGGCTTATAATGCAATATGGACAGATAATATGATGGGTAGGGGGCTAATGAAATTGCAAGTGCTTTGTGTGTTATATTACAAAAAGTGTGCGAAGATATTCCAAATATTAATCATCTGATTTTGTGGTCTGACATTCAGGTCTCATCATTGAACATAAATTTGGAACACCTGGACATTCTTCTATACAAGAAGTAGACAATGTTCACAGTCACATTGAAAAAGCACTAGGAGTAGCCGAAATTTATAGCCCAATATCCCTTGTCAGAGTCTTACTTAAAGTTCGACCAAAACACATGAAAGTTATACAAATGAAAAAATCTCAATTCTTTGATTTCCAAAAGGTTTCACAACGATTTAAATTTAATATTCAATTTTGTAAACTAAATTATTTGAGAATTGATTCTTCCCGACATATGCAGTGTGATTACCAATTTTGTTTCTCTGAAGAATTGAAAACCCATACAACATGACATACTCGAAAGAAAAAATCAACGATTTGAAAAGTATGATGCCATTTATGCCACTTTCTGACTGTGATTACTATAGACTTACTCTTGGCATAGACGCTAATAATTAATATGAATTATATTACACGATAAAGCCTTTATTTAAATGTCAAAAGCATCAAAAAGGTAAAACAGTCAAATTCCCTCCGATTATATTGATTTTTATTGATTGTTACATATTAAAATTACTGGAATATCGTCGGTCGACATATTATCAAAATTTGGTTTCCATATATACAATGGTCAGCTTTTATTACAACATATAAGAAAATGTCTTCAAATATTATTCATTTTATCTTAATTCCATTTTTTTTATTAATTAATCGATCTATGTTTAAAGCTAGGAAATGTGGGATATGGAACGGGTGCCAATATGAGATTGTCTTCTGCTACTAATTCCATATCGTTCTATATCCCAATTCCTCCATTGTCCGTTTTTGTAAAACAAAAATATGAGAAATTTGTAAACTTTTTGTCAAAATGAATTTTATTAAAGTAAAAATAAATGAATGATTTTTCACAACATGTTAATTTTGATATATTCCTTCACTTAATATGGCATTTATATGGTTGTCAAAGTTTCAAATTTGATTTTCTCAAAAACAACAAGAACGGAGATAGAAAATTATAGACCTGAGGTGACGACATGTAAGCGTAGTTAAATACACGATTATCAAGAGTGACCGGGTCACATGTATCAGATGATAAAAAAGTGTCAAAATCATGCATATATAAAAGGAACAATAGTGGTTAAAGGTTATCTCCATGCTTTACACCAGAGAAGGATGTAAAACATTGTGAATATTCACGTTTAAACTTCACACATAATGTAACGGTTTTATACATAGAGTGAATACATCTTAACATTCTATTACTCAAACCTAGATCACTTAATTTTTGCACTAACAACTGCCTATCAATCCTGTCGAAACATTTAGAAAAATCAATAAATGCACAATATAACTGTTTACAAATATTACATTAAATATATGGCATAAATAAAAGCCAACATCATTATTGACATTCTTAAGGACTTCAGGGGGGACACCATCTTGTCCTGCACTTTTACCAGACTTGTGATTAGAGATTGCTTTGCAGAACTCTGATACGGTTATTTCACCATCTATGGAGGGTATATTTTGGTTAGCAGGACAATAGAGCTCTGAATAGCCAAACGGACGATCGTTATTACTAAAAACATTTTTAAAATGGTTATAAAAATCAATAATAGAAATGGATGATGAGGAATTCGACTGGGGTTTTGATTTATAGAAACGAATTTGTTTCCAGAAATTCTTAGGATTATCTTTTATAATAGAGTGCCTTCGTTATACATATAGGAATTCTTAGCATATTTTTTAACATTATTAAATTTAGTTCTGGCACGAACGAATTTAGTCCTATTCGTTTCTGTTTTACAATTATTATAAATATTCCTGGCATGAATAAAGTTTTCCCTATTAGTAATACAATTATTATCAAACCACTTATTGTTTTTATTAACAGATTTTCTCTTTTTACCGCCTACTCTCTGTTGATTTCCAATACATTTATAACATTCATCGAATAATAAAGAACAGAAACTGTTTACAGAATAATCGACCTCGTCTTGACTCTTTTGTGGGATAATTTCTTTTACATCATTGACTTTATTTGATTCCATTTTCCATGTGCGCATGTAAGTGGAATTATTGCTAGGGGTATGTGGGCAGCGGCTTTGCTAAGCCAATTAATGGATAATGAGAAAAAGGCATGATCTGAGAATTCGTGAAAATTACTTATTTTAAAATCACTAATTAAATTAAAATAGTTTGAATTAACCAGACTAGAACCTTTGGAATATGTAGAAGATGTAAAGAATATGTTCTTATCTTTTCAAACGGGTTGCGGGAAATCGATTTTGTGTTTTGTTTACATGGCCGTCGAACCACCTATAGTCTGATTGATCAGATTTCAAGAGGGGGAATAGATATTGAATAATATGACTCGTATTTATACTGTCTAATGGCGATTTTAACAATATGTTTATGCATAGCCGTTCAAAATTGCAAGTCCAATTTCGGATATTATAAAACCAGATGTTTATGTATTTCAAACTGTATCAGCATATCGATAGATAGCTAAGGTCAAGGGAATTCTACGCCTAAAAATTCATTGAAGGTCACGGGATAAGGACGTTCACAAAAATCAAACGATAATAAAAAAAAAATTGAAATTCAATATTCTGATCTCAATATATTTTAGATAAACTTACAATGTTTTGACTGAAACCAAAATCATACAAATCGAATACAATATGGCAAATTTTCTCCAAAAGGCGTCAATCTGTGGTAACGGCGCATGTATCACTTCTGGTTTTGATTTTATCTGCATGGTTTACTCAAATTAGTTATCATAGATGATATGGTTTCTTTGTCGAAATTTCTGGTTTACACCTAAACCGGAAGTGATTCAAACAATCTAATGTCGCAGTTTAATCTGTTCATATCCTGTAAATTTCAGATCGATCATATAATTAGCGACTTAGACAAAAAATTCAATTATTTTTATGAAAAGTAATTGAAATTTTCCAATGCAACCGATACTTCTTATAGAGAACATAAAGAAAGAAGTAAATCGATCCCCAAAAAAGCTCTACAGCCTCCAAACCAATCTGCACATTGTGCAATATGTCCGAAGTTTAGATATACGATCAAACCAGAAATGCTAAACCAGTTCTAGGTTTTGCTGCATGCGTGGACGAATAATAAAAATATTAATCATAAAAAGCAATTATTCAATGGACAGACATTTTAAGTTGAACTAATTCCCATAGAGCTTATTCCAATTTGAGCTACTTTTTCTCCAATAGGACTAGTGTCATATATATTGACTATTGCCTTCAGAGGTTTCACAGTTGGTTTCACATTTCTTGTAAGGTAACTGTTCTATCATTGGATGATGACATTAAAGGAATTGTAAAGAGATTTTATTTTCACTAAATGCAAAATATGCTTTATCACATAAAGCCCTTCGCGATTACATCACATCTTCGTCTACTTCTACACTGTATTAGCCAAATTGTTTTATCTCGACTACATTATATTTTTATGACGTGTGGGCGGGGACTAAAAGGCATGAAATTATGCACAATAACGAAGATGTAATGTAGATAGTGAAATGTAGAAGATGCAAAGACAATTATGCTTTGTTCAATGTTCAATGTTGTTTTAAGCAAAAGCAGTATTAGACATAATATGTTCATAACATCTAATTCTGAACACGATTGACCTCCATATCAAACTACTGAAATATATATATTATATTATATTTCCGTAGGTCCTCTATTGGACAACCAGCTTTGTATATATTCCTTATAAATATCTCCCCGATCTATTTTTTCAAAAATATATGTTTACGTTTTGTCTTTGTACATCTTGTTTTCATATAAATTTGATTTACTCTCGCGCCATGATCTTTACCAATGCTTTGAATCAGACCAGGATGAAAAGAAATATTTTTGTTCGTCTAAACTGTATGTAATTTTGGTAAAAAGACTTAATGTTACATTTGAATGTTTTTTGTAGTTTGATTTCTATTATCAATTTCTAATCATGTTTGCAATTATACGAATCAGAGGTGTTTCGTCGAGTTAGTCCTTGAAAACTCGTGGGATCTAACTATTTACTAGACTAATCACTATCGTCCAGTGTTCTGGGATCCCATGAAAGTTATAAAAAGTAAAATGAAATTAGCTGGAATAAGCCAAGTAAACTAAGTTCAATTTTTGAAGAAAATACTACAAGATGACACGTTCTTGGTCCCTCTTCTGAGATCAAACGGAATGCATGAGGAATTCACCATGTATCATGGGTTTTGTTAATTTTTTGAACAGTTTAGAATTAAGAATAACTCACTTGAATTTCTGTTGTATATATTTATGTTTTGAAAGTTAACATCTTTCTGTAAATCAACACACCACCAATTGATAACATCATTTTTAGTATGAGTACAAGATCCACGAATAAATATACTGTCAGTATTACCATCTACAGCTAACGATGAGTTACTAGTAGAATAATTAGAACTCTGGGTGGTGTTTCTTCCCAATGCAACATTTTCTTCACCTTAAATAAACATTTTCTATTTAAACATTATTCCGATGCATTATATGTTGATAAAAAAAGTAATTTCGTCTAATTAATTGGGATTTTAAGATGAACCGTGGAAATACAATAATACATATTCCCCGTTTTACAAATCAATTTTTTTTGAGTAGACAATAAATCCTCAATTTTTGTCCCATTTAGGTGTAATAAAGCCATATTTTTTTTTATTAAATATGGGTTCCCTTATTTTCATTTATGAAAATAAAAACGCTGACTTTTCTATGAATAGAAAGTATAGGTGTTCTAATGACTTATCTCACATGTCATAATTAGCTAAATTCGAAGAGAATTACCAGTAGAATTCCAATGACTGACCGATCAAGAACGGTCAAAAAGTCTTTTTTTTTGGTTTATCCAGACGTACATACATGGACATTTATGATATTATATTATTATATATTATATGCAATAAGAACATAATGATATGATTAAGAATACACGATAATTCAGTAGAAACACAAATTAATCAAATAGTTTGCCTAATTTAGATTATTTCGTTTGTATTCCTCTGTAAGCCTCTGATAGCTATTTGGACAGATGCCGGCTGGTGTAGAAAAATAGGCCATGTTAAATCCACATCTCCTCAATTGTTCGGATTTTAAACCTATTTAGATAATTATGTACCTTAATTGGAAAGGTAAATTGGAAAGATGAATATTTTTGTAGTTCAGTCATACCATCATTTTCTCCCTATACCATTTATGTAACGTCTCCGATTCCATCAAAGGTTTTTTTAACGAAATTAATCACGCATCGGCCATTTAAAAATGCGTGCACACCCCAGCGTCACGTGATACTAAAGTTCACGTGTCAAAATGTTGAATATAATTATAAAATTAAATAAAGTGAGTGAACACTATTATGAAGCATGTATATAACGACGGACATATTATTTCCTTACAATGTGGCTAATGTACAAGTGAACGTGCAATTTGTTTCAAATAGACGTGGTGGTCAGAACCTCTGCTATCAAGGTCATAAATTCAGCATAAAGAGTAGGAGAGGAGAGAAAGTGCACTGGGGATGTTACAAGTCCACCTGTAATGCATCAATAAATACATCCAGTGGAATAATGACAACTTATAGAGATATCCACAACCATATGGTTTCACACTCGAAAATTGTACTTGACGAATTCCTTGCTTCAGTAAAAGACATGGCTAGAGCAGATTGTAGACCAATTCCAACGATCTACCAGGAGGAAATTATAAGTAAGTGCTATTTTATTTTTATTTTCATTAGAACTGCGAGCTGTCGAAGTATATCTGGCCATATTCATTCTAACCTTTCTTTCTTTTTTTCAGAACTGCGAGCTGTTGAAGACCCTAATGTAGTGAAGACCGTTCCTACCTTCTACAGCAACCATAGCAGCTCATACAGAGCGAGAGACAAAGAACTCCCTACTCTTCCTATCCGACGATCTGACATCAATCATCCCGACATGTACAAGGAAACCAACAACGGCGAAGATTTCCTGATACACCAAGATGACGATATGCTTATTTTGTCAACAACCGAAAACTTGCAACATCTGTCCGGCTCTGAGGTTTTGTTTTGTGACGGCACCTTTAGTGCAGTTCCAGAAGTGTTCCACCAACTTTATTCTGTTCACGCTCTTGTTGAAGGAAAAATGTTTCCTCTAGTGTATTCCCTGCTTCCCAACAAGAAACAATCAGCGCTTCTTCATCATCCTCCAGCATAAGGCTGAGATCCGCAACTTGCACCTTAGACCAAGAACCATTTTCACTTTGACTTTGAGAAAGCTGTCCAGAATGCCGTGGAACATGTTTTTGACTGTGAACTGAAAGGATGTCTCTTTCACTATCGAAAGGCAGTTTGGAGCAATGTCCAAAAGTGTGGTGCTTTGCAAACAACCCAGATGTGAACTTATTCGTGAGGAGAGCATCTGCTCTAACTCTACTTAGACCTGAACATATCGAAGATTACTGGTTGAAGCCCTTGAAGCCGCTAACATGGAAGATCCCTCAATTGCAAAGTTTGCTGTCTATGTGACCGAACAGTGGGTGGAAGGAGAAGATATACATATGTGGAACCTATTTCACACTGTAGGTCCGCGAACCACGAATCATGTTGAGGGGTGGCATACTAGAATGAACAAGATGACCACCAACCATCCAAGCATCTTCAAATTCATCACCCTGATAAAAGCTGAGCAAGCAATGACCGAAGTGACCATCAGTCAGCTCCAGTCTGGTGGTAAGAAACGTCATAATATGGAAAATTGAATTGAGGAAGATGTTTAGACTATATTGCTTATAGCCATCAGCCTACTATTGCTACACAATCAAAATAATAATTCACGAAAACAAGAATTAGTTATCTGAAAAAGACCATTTTCTTACCTTTGGTGATGATGAGAAAAAAACAAATTATAAATAATAGTTTGCTAAAGACGGTCACAAGTCTATCCATGTTTAACATTCTATTAACGAAGTGATATGCAGGTATATTTAATAATGTATTATATGTGATATTTAGGACAAGCAGGTTACAATAACTAAAGAGTTTCTATTAATAGCATATAAATAGTTTACGGAATAATAAGGAACGAAATGAATCGGTGAAATTACAATAATATGCATAACCAAATATTATAGCATGGTGTCTCATGTATTCACTTGCATTACATACATTGCATGGCTTGCATGGGTAGATATAAACCACTGTCGACTGTTGAAAGTTTGGTATTGAGTGTGTAAGAAATAGTTTTTATTTTTATCATGTTGATATGATGATATATAAATTTATGAAGGTTATATGAATGTAGTTGAAATAAGTTTACAATTTCGGCACTTCGTCTCCAAATCTAACAATTTTTCTACCGCATTCATTTAAACATTTCTAAGCGTGCAAGAAGAACCCGTGGTTTGATGACATATCAAATTTTTTAATAGAGAAACCCAATGAAACTATCATTTTGCTCTACTTAGAATTTCGCTTCCCCTCGATTTATCATCGTTATCAAGAAACGGGTTCTTAATTGGTTAATTGATGATATCACAAGTCGCGTTTACATATAGGTTAATGGTCTCAAGCTTGTCAATAAGTCTAATAATGATCGTGGTACTGAAAGTCCGAGTATTACGTCATTATAAGACGTATTGACATGCTTCCGACCATTAACCAACTTAAAATACAGTTCACAAACAATAACATCTACTCAGGCACGTACTATTATACAGGTCACATGAGATCTAATTACATGCCTAACAATACAGGCAATCTTTCAAAATGTCCGGTCAGGAAAATAAAAAAAACTATATCTGTTCGAGTTACATACTATTATTCCCTTATTGCTGTGTCGTTCATTTCATTATTAATAATATGGATATGGATTAAAATGGATACTTTAATTATTTCATTTCGTATATCTGGACTGTAATTCATGGATTACAATTTGATTGTATATGTATGTCTACAGGTCATAGATATTGGTACGACAAGATTAAAGGTTGGCCCGTTTGAAGTAAACCGTGCTCTGTCCGGACTCGGCCCAGATAATTTGTGGCTGTCCTTTATGATTGTACAATTGTAAATGTCCATATATTAGGGACAATTTGACATACTCATGCATCCTTACTTTGCTCAACGTTGAGCTCCAGAACTATTAAATTCGATAATAACCTCCTGATTGTCAGACCCATTGGTGATAGTGATAACTTTAAAATAATTTTTCTGTTCACATTCTTTTCAGTTGATTAAATCAAAAATAATATCTATTGGACTCGCGGCAAATCTGCCTAAATATGTCAAGGCTTTCATTAGTAGTTTTGGCACCAAATGCCATGAAGTCCACTATTGTCATCTGCAACCAAGAAGAAGCCGATGTCCGTAGACCACGCTTGCTATTTCAGAAATTTCTGGTTTGAGGAATCCATTACTATACAGTTAAAACTTGCGATTTTGTCTTGCTTTGGACGAGATTTTTGGTTAACAGAATTGTTTTGCTTGTTTGGATTTTTATTACATAATCAAGTTTCATATTAATGATAAAGTTGTGTAATACAGGGTTTAATCAATCTTGGTTGACACACCAGACACAGATGTCTTTGTCATCTTCATCTTCCACTTCAAGAAACCTGGCAATTACAAAAGCTGTTTGTAACCGAGAAAAGAATAAAACTGTACCAGTCCATATGTTAGTTGATAAACTAAACAACAATTTTGTGAGCCAATGCAAAATTTGTGAGCCATATGCAAAATTTTCATTGTCGTAAATTTTACCTGAAATATTTTCAAAATATGCTATTTGCATCTGTGTATCTACTGAATTAGTTTTAAAAGAGTGAATTAAAATCCCATAAAGACTGAATATTTTTGTTGGTACTTTTTAGAATACGTACGAGACCCATTTCTCTACAATTATTATTATCAAATTTTTTTGATTTTCAATAGGGGTTTACCCTTAATTTATAATGGACACTTACACCAAATTTTGTCAAAATCCACCAAGATTGTGGCTTCTGGAGTGTTTACGAACGGACAGACAGATTGACACGGGTGAAGCCAATATATGCTCCACATTTTATCTTAGTTTTCATTGCTCAAAAGAACAAACTATGTCAATTTTTCGTAGAGAGGTGAAGGTAGAATTCTATCAAGAGATTCATAAGGACCAGTTTCAACTTGAGATCCTGTAACATCGTGTTGTATATTCTCATATGAAGGTCTGGTAACATCGTGTTGTATATTCTCATATGAAGGTCTGGTAACATCGTGTTGTATATTCTCATATGAAGGTCTGGTAGTCTCTACATTATCTGAAGATGTGTATCTTACAGTTCTTTCATTTGAATTATAACGTTCATTTCTGAAAAATAATACCACAGATATGAATATAATTTAAACAGATGTATTTGATAATACATTTAGGTTCTTACTACATCTTTCCTTTCCTGAAAACTAGCATTAAACGTAACTTAAATTAAGCTACACCTGCAGTAAAGACTAACAGAGTCATTTTCAAGTGGAACATATCTTGAAATTAAAAAAAAAAAACACGTTATTTTGCTTATGACTGTGATGTAAGTAATGGAAGCGTTTTCAAAATTTTTTATGGACAAAATGACATGAGTTTCGTTAAAAGGACAGATGCGCCATTTCTTTGACCAATCAAAGTTTAGTCTCAGAAACGGGATTTTTGCATAGCCATCATCAGTAATAGTGTTCACATCTCAGAAATTGAGACTTTAAATCCACGTGTGTCCAAAATACATGAAAATTAAAAACACGAGTCATCTGTTTTTGAGACATTGCCATATATAGAAAAAAAATCGAAAACGATCTAATATGAAAAGAAATTCCTAGTTTGAGATATTTTTGAAGAGAATTTGTCATTTTCGTACATTTCTAGTAGCATTTACATACATATATATTTAAAACTCAAATCAACCCCCGCAAAATGGCGCACTTGACGATCTAAATCTAGATTGTTTGACCCAATAACTAAGGGAAACTGTTACACTTTTGACGAGATGAAATACTTAGACGAAATCATACAATATTGGTTCTGAACAGTCACCTTTTTTTCATACAGCAATATACCAATATTACAATCCCAATCAGTAGTAAAACCATTGAAGTCAGGGCACCGACGATTCCAGCAACTAGTGGTGATATTCCATCAGAACTTTCTAAAATACAAATGGCAAAATTCTGAAATTGTAGCTTATTTCAAAACTTAAAAACGGGCGCATCATATAAAAAACGGTTGTAAGTGTTTCATGTATGAAAAAATGTGCAAATTTCTATGTAAAGATAAAATCATGAATGGAATTAATGAGAGCTATAGTATATTTAGTAGCAATACTATAATCATGTGGTAAAACGTCAAAATAAAACCAAGTCCTGTATACCATGCAGGTGATAGTCACTTAACTTTGTAAATACATGAATTGGAGACTTTCAGTTCACATAAACCTAAATTTACAATGTTAAACATTCTTAATTAGAACTGTAGCCCGAGAAAACACGAGGATTCCTCCCGTCCATTACCATCGAGAAAGATTTGACTTTATATAGACTGTTGGCAGGTTGACGGTTGGTAAAAACCCTTCTTTTCGAAAAAACAAAAAAAAATTAATATTATCATTATCTTTAACCTCATTGTTTCCTAAAATGCTTATTCCACATTCAAACAATGTCGAAAAAGGTGGCACAAATTGTTGTTTTATATGCTAGTAACGCAAATGTAAATAAAATGCCACTTTATTCTAAGCCAAACACACACTTATCGTTTGAAACCCAGTGTGAAAAATTAGCATTCTCTTCCAGTTCCAAGTCCTTTTTCTGATTTTAATTAAATTTGGTTTTCGGGGAAGGGAGGGTTTGATTCTCCCAAATGTACAGACCTAGGGTGGAGCAAACACTTCATTTAGAAATTAGGATTAAGGGTCTTGATATTGGGTTTTCTTCTGTTCTTATTCTGATCTGAAATTAAAAAAATAACTCGCCCGTTGGGCGAGAAGTATAGTATCTATTATGTACTGATTGTTTTAAGTTTACTATGAACAATATTATCATATAAGTTCTTATTTTTTGAATATGCAACTATCATTTTCTGCTTATAGACATGGGGGAATTTCTCTTGAAGGCTCTTATAGTGGGCATGAACTATCTTGCTTGCTCGCTTGCTGGTTGTATTGAACGGGACAACAAAGGGTACTATGCCTACATTATGGTGAATATTTAGTCCTATAGGTCTTGCTGTATTCAATGTCTCAATCCAATGGGCTTCCCTAGATTGACGGAATTTGGTAGTTTCATCGTCGGGCAAGTCAATTTCTATGCGCTCAATTGGGATTAGGGTGAGATCGTCTGTTGAATGGTCGTCGTGGTTGAAATGATTAGAAAAAGGCTTGTCTTTCTGTAATTTGATGCCCGACCTATAAGCATTAAAACGAGTTCGTAAATTATTCTTAGTTTCTCCTACATATTGTTTGGAGCATTTCTTGCATGAAATTAAATATATTACATTCGAATGTTCACATGTTATATGTTCCTGGATCGGGTACCTTTTATTCGTAGAGTTGCTTACAAAATAATGAGTTTCTGATATAAAGGGACATGTTTTTCATCTACTGGACAAACATGGAGCACTTCTTAAACCTGAAGGTACTTCGGCATAAGGTCTGTTTTTAGCTGCTATCTGTGCTAAGTTGATCATTAACATTGATGAGATCGTGGACTAGTTCGAATTTGATGATTTTTCGATGAATGCTTTTTGAGCTATTGCTCTTGACTTGACTGGACTTGACTTTTGTTGTAAAAGCGTCAATATTTGTTTGCGCACACAATAAAGACTACGTTCTTTATCTGATTTTGATCAAATTTGGTATGATCAGTTATATTGATTAAACCTTGGTGAAGTTCGCATTTGACGATTTTTCGATGAATTGTTTTTGAGTTATTGCCCTTGACCTATGAAAAACTCAAAATGTGTATGTGAACACAATAGAGACTGATTTCAGCACGTCAAGTTGTTT